TAGTGCTTGTTGGAAGCTGGGGTTTAGCCCCTTGCAAATCTAATTTTTGCTGCTCAAACCCAACTTGCGTCCGCAGCTTGGAGAGCGAGTAGCTAGCTACCAACAGTCTTATTAGAGTAGTAGAGCAGGCACATTGTGTGTCTGACATGTACGTACATAAACTTTTCTAATTGTAATTCCAATAATTTATTTTAGCATATGTATCGGAGAATGATTTTTCAATGAGGAATAATGACTTCTTACGTGTAAATAGCTAAGCTGTGTGCGAAAGTTAGAGGGTGTATTCAATTGAAATTTTAATGGATTTGTTTTGAAGCTTAAAAGTACAACGGTATTCAATTAGGATTTTTAAGTAATCAATAAAAGTCTTGTGGTATTCAATTAGGATTTTTAAATAATCAATACAAGTCCAGTTATATTTAATTAAGACTTTTAAAAGATGAGAAAAAGTACCGTGCTATTCAAAAACTTATTGATTTTAATGTATTTCATTAAATGGTGTATTGTGTGAGACTTTTGAGTGTGTGATATAAATACCAAATCACATAACAAATCCCACCCTCTTATGCCTGATTCTCATATATGTTGTCATACTTCTTCTTTTTTCCCACTATTTTTTCATGCTTTCTATTGTACAAAAAAAGAGAGACAATAAAGAAACATTAACAAGAGAGAAGATATTGCCTCTTTTGAAGTTAATTAGCATTTTCCAATGGCTCTTCTTTCCTTGTAGACAAGCTTATTTGGAGCAAATTTATCGTTTCGATACTTTTTTCAGAATCTCCTGCTTTTTGGGGATGAAAATATCAAAGGTACAGATGTTAAGTAGTCATCAGATAACATTAATTTTTCAAAATCTAAACTCATGAACTGTTTCAAAATCTAAACCAATGAAACAAACAGTTGTCGAAATGATTTTTTCAAGAACAGTTGGTGTAAAGGCATAATTACTTGGGTGACACTCTAGACCACTTCACATATATTCGTGATGATTTTCTATTTACATTCTTGATTCAGCTCTGACTTGCTCTCATGCCACAATCATGAATGATGTTGGATGATAAAGTTCAAGCTTGTATAAAAATATAAGTAAAATCATGTAATTGCAATCTATTCAAATCATAAGTAAAATTCTAAGTGAATTAAAATCATATAATTGCAAATCCGATGAAAATTCATTACATTAAAATCATGTAATTACAATCTATTAAAATCTCATTTGAATACATCGGGTGTGCTGGCTAGCTATCATGATAAGAATCAGACTAGGATATGGTGTGGGGGGCTAGCCAAGGCTAAGCTCCTTTTGACTGAATCTTTAATATTCCACGAGTACAGTTGAAACTGTGCCGTACGTAATGCCAATTCCTTTTTAAGTTGAGCACTTAAGCTGGCCATGATTAATTTCTCTCTCGCCAACTCCAAGCCCTCCAAGTAGCCCTAATACGAGATCACCATGTATCTGATATAAATTTTGCTCGGGTGGGAAACAACTTGACGCATGAAAAGCCACTTGAAATAAAATATAGGAATTAACAAAATACCAATGGAGCTGTAAACGTCATTCCAATCATGGTTTTCCAAAACAAAAAATGGTGATCAATAATTAATTAGTGTACCAAATGAATATAATTAAACTAATTAAGATTTGGTCTACCTTAATCAAAGATCTTGAGAGGCATTACTTAAAGTGCTCGTCTGCAAGTGATCGATCTTCTTCGCCATGTGCGCAGTGCGCACTAACTTTGTCAGAAAAAAAACTATAGTTTTTGCTAGGAAAAGAAAGGTCTGCAAGCTTTCAAACCCCACAAACACATCCACACCAGCCGCTTATAGCGAATCTGGGATTATAAACTAGTATTCAAATCAAACTTCTAAAGATCCATTCTACTTTTAGCCCTGTAACACCATTACATAGTGTTATCAATTCATTTATATTATAATATGTATCAACGATTTATTTTGTATCTTAATACGTAAATTAAAAACACTGTGTGACGTTCAGACTCAAAATATTTTCGAACCGGAATTAACCTCACTAAAATTCCTAGGACTAAAAGGGTTCTTGAAAATGAAAGGATTGGTTCCTAAAGTCGTGGAAGTCCCACCATCCAATATGCATTGGACCCTAGAAAATGGAGGAAGCTGTCAGTTCCTTAGCACTGTGATCGATCGATTAAGTACTTCTTCTCCCTGAAATGGGCGATGGGGAATTCAGCAAATCAGCCAACTAGACCTTTTGTTGCAACTTGAAAGAGAAAGCATTACAAGAGCTGTCAAATCTTAGCCGTTGAAAACAACACACAAAAATGTAACTGAGATAAGGAATCTTTTGGATTGAAAAGCAAGCACTACAAGGGAGCTATGAGATTCCGTTTTCTTTGACTGAGCTGCTGCTAGCTTTTTCGTTTTTGTTTATATATCTATATATATAAAGCAAAAGGTAGAGAATGGTAAAACATTCAAAATATCAGAAAATGCTATTTGTTAATGCAAACATTAAGAATTGAAATTATTAATTAAATGAGGATAATATGGTAAATTTATACTTTTTCATATTAAAAAAATTAAAATACTATGCTATGGAAGCCAGTTGGCAGATTTTGAAAACAATTTAACTTTATACGCGTGTGTTTGTTTGAGTTCTTTTACCCAAAAGGGTATATGCGGATTTAGGTTCTTCAACTAAATAATTAAAAAAGTAAAAAGAGTTCCACATTTAGCATAAATTCACAGAGGCAGTGGATATAGCAAAAATAAAAAATTGTTGAAACATTTAAAATACTTTAAAATACTATAAAATGTAATTGGTTAATAAATATGGTAAATTCACATTTTTTCATATTAAAAAAATTAAATTTAAAAACAAAATCAGATAATAGGTCTTACTTTATGGAACATAACTAGCCATGTTATATTTTCTTAATTCTAAAAATAAAATAAAAAATAAAAAATAAAACCCACATGTGCCAAAGGGCTAGTATATCTATAAATATAAAGCAAAAGACAGAGAATGGTGAAATATTCAAAATACCAGAAAATATCCTTGGTTAATTCAAATACTAAGAATTGAAATTATTAATTAAATGAGAATAATATGATAAATTCACATTTTTCATATTAACAAAATTTAAATTAAAACCAAAATAAGATAATAGGTTATACTTTTATGGAACATAACTATCTATGTTATCTTTTCTTAATTCTAAAAATAAAATAAAAATAAAAAATAAAACCAACGCATGTGCCAAGGGGCTAGTATATATAAAGCAAAAAACAAAGAATGATGAAACATTCAAAATACTAAAAAATGCCATTAGTTAATCCAAACATTAAGAATTAAAATTATTAATTAAATAAGAATAATATGGTAAATTCACACTTTTTCATATATTTTAAAAATTAAAATTAAAAGAAAAATCAGATAACGAATCCTATTTTTATGGAACACGACTACCCATTATCTTTTTTAATTCTAAAATATATATATATTTTTTAAAAAAAGCCTCTCTTAAGCGCGGAAACACGTGCGGAGAGGCAAGTATAATATTATGTTAACTTCATCAAATTTATTCATTAAATTTGTTGATATGTTGGTGCACATCTATATAAAGTAAAATCTATGAGTGATCCGTCAACTCTGTCTCCAAGTGTATCATTCTGTTTTCAATTTCTTTTAAAAAAAGGTTTGTGAATGTCAAACTTCACTATATTTATATACAAAAACATTATAAAACTTATAATATTACCTACTTGATACCTTTTTTTTTTGTTTTATTTTATTTTTTAATTCTTCAGAATATTATATTACTAATAAGATATGGTTTTCATTAAACCTGAGTGTTAGATTAAATCTTAAACTTAGTACTTTGACTTTACATCTAGCTCACCAACTTTCCTTATATTCCACTACCGCATTCTGATATATTTTATGTATAATATTTTTAGGTATTATATGAAAAGATAAGAAAAAGAAACCAGAGAGAGCAACTCAAAAGGTAGGAAGGTGCCATTGGTTCAGTTGGCAAGGTGTGAGTTGTGGGTTGAGTAGAAAATGTCTTGTGTAATTCCATATCGGGGCAAGGGGGATAATGATCCCTTGCATCAGTTCAACCAACTATAGGTCGCAGATTTGTCCTTGTCTTGGGTAGTCTCTCTCTCCCCTAAATTTTTTTTCACAAAAAAAGGTTGAAGGTGAGAACCTTGTCATGTTATTTTTTAAAGATTTGTTTTTACTGTTGTATCCTTTAACTAAACTATTTTCTTTTGCCAATGAAATCTAGCATAGTGAGAAGAACCTTGATTTACAGACTAGTGGTCTCAGGTTCGAATCTCTACGACACCTTATTATTGTGTGTGCAAAAAACCACCTCCCCCAATATCGCTTGTATAAAAAAAAAAAAATCTGTTTTCTTTTAAAATTGTAGATAGTAAAGCAATGTTACCATGATGGTGAAAACACTGTTTCATTTTGGGCCCTAATAAGAAACAATGAAACATTGTCATATGGATTGGCAACAGACACGTGACGGTGTTACCGTTTCACTCAGATTTTTTTGCATGACCTCAATGTTTAGTACATCAACATAGAAATGCTAATCAATGCTAGTCTTCTTGAGGCTTTATACCATGCATGCACTAAAAATATTAAATTAGTATGCAAATCTTTTTTTAAGATCACACTATTGCCCATACTTTTTATATTTGGGTTTCAGATAAGTTTTTTTGGCTATCTATTGTACTCTTTTACTTTATTGCATTTATTATTAGAGGATAATTTCTCTCATTTGTTTTATTTTTAAATATTTATGTCTTGTTGGCGCCAAATTGGGCTTTTAATTTGAATATTCCAAATAGGCCCAAACTTTCTCCAAAAAATACAATAAGCCCAAGCCCACTTATCATTACGTCAGTCAAACGCAACGGTTAACGACTCTGAAATGAAATTAAATGAGGGGCACGAGGAAAATGAGGAAAAACCAAGACAGAAGCAACCTACCGAAGAAAGCAAGCCAGAGCCCAATTGTCAATGGTCGTTGGGACGCGGTATCGGCTGCTAAACCTAAATCCTGTAATTAATTAGAGCTAAGAAAGTGATTAATGGGCTTAATCACAATATTAATCCTGGTGGTGGTGGTGGTATTTGGCGCAAAAACGAATATGCCGTTGCCATAATGCTTATGTCCTTCCTCGTCGCAGACATTCTTAAATGTAAAGTCGGTTGAGCCTGCGAGACAGAGAGAGAACCCAACAACTACTTGACCCGTTTTCTCTTCGAATTTTATTCCTCATGCACGACGCTTTCCTTTTCCTTCCTCTCTTTCAAATTTTCAATTTCAGAGTTTCGAAGCATTCTTCTTCTTCGTGATTGTCGCTGGATCAATTGCTCTTTGATTTCGGCTTCGCAAGGTTGGTTTTTGTTTGATTGATTAATTGCTTCTGCTTTTTTGCTTCGATGTTCGTTTTGGTTTTTGGAATTTGCTTTTTGAATCAAACCCTAGTGCTCGGTTGATGGAGTTATGGTTACCCTTTTGTTTGTTGGCGCTGAATTCAACTTTGTACAATCGTCTGGGTAAATGAGTTGCAGATGGTTTTCGAATTTTCTATTTCAATGTTTGTTGCTTGCGTTTTGGTGTCTGTTGCTTTTCTGAGTGACTATTTGGTCGTTACTATTTTTTGGCGCTCTGTTTTCTGTCGTTTGAGCTCTTTTGTATTTGCAATAGTCATTGAAGATCTTAGAGCGCTTTGTTTAGTTTTGTTGACAGTTTTAATGAGTTGGGCTACTTCTCAGTTCTGACTGAAGCGGGTGTTTTGTTGTTTTTAACAGCAATGTAGTCGAGTTGTCTGGTGTGTGTGTGGTGGTATGGGTATATATGACCAAGTTTAGTATAACTCAAAACTAGATTCTCTCTGCTTTTGCAATTCTTCTGGGATGCAAATATGGTAATATTTTTATATAGATAACTTGTAATGCTGAAGACATTATCAGCCCAGAGCTGGTTCTTTTCATAGGATATGCATGAGCGTAGTGGCCCAGAGCGTTTGACTAGGGCCCAGAGCGTTTGACTAGAAAATGATGATAAGTTGCTTTCTCCACATCAATTCCCATGTCAATTGATCTTGCATGTTTCTTATTGGAGTTTCTTTTTGTTATACTTGAACAATATGCAATATCAGTAAATTATTTATTTTGATCTTTTATTTACTTCTATTGTCATCTATCTTTCTGCTCAGGATATTGGAGTTATTCTCTGTGGGTGATTCTGGCACACTTGTGGTGTGGTTGATTTATAATAATTTGAAGCAGTGCAAGTTCATTTGATGGGATCTACTACGCCGTCTGTTGGTTTTCTAGATACTTTAAGAATGGAGAGGGTTAGGACAATTCTAACCCATACATATCCTTATCCGCACGAACATTCCCGTCATGCTGTAATTGCTGTTGTTGTGGGTTGCCTCTTTTTTATCTCGTCTGACAACATCAATAGTCTTGTAGAAAAGTTAGACAACAATATTAAATGGTGGTCTATGTATGCATGTTTGCTGGGTTTCTTCTATTTCTTTTCATCCCCATTTATAGGGAAGACAATCAAACCAAGCTATTCAAATTTCAGTCGGTGGTAAGTAAATTTGTCTGAATCCTATGTCAGTGCATTTGTACTTTGCAGTATCTCACATTCACATATATGTACATAACCCATACACTGAGGTATAAAGAGTCTATACAAGTTTTAACAATGGGAATTGCTTTTGTAGGTATATAGCCTGGATTTTAGTGGCGGCTGTCTATCATCTTCCTAGTTTTCAATCAATGGGAGTTGATATGAGGATGAATCTGTCTTTGGGTTTTAATGTATATGTCACTTCTGTTCTCTTTCTTCTTTTCTTCCACATTATATTTCTTGGCCTTTGGTATGTTGGTCTTGTGTCGCGTGTGGCTGGAAAGAGGCCAGCAATTTTGACCATTCTCCAAAATTGTGCTGTAAGTTATAATAACATTTTTTCTACCTCCCTATCATGTTTCCAGTGTTTGTATTTACTTGGCATGTAGTACAGAAGAAACTTAAATGCTTATGCATCAACATATAAGCTTTGGATATTATTTTCATGCATTTTTTGTTCATGTAGGTTCTTAGTGTGGCCTGCTGTGTGTTTTATAGTCATTGTGGCAACCGTGCTATTTTGAGAAATAGACCACTGGAACGAAAAAACTCTTGGTTTAGTTTCTGGAAGAACGATGATAGGAACACATGGCTTTCAAAATTCCTCCGAATGAATGAGTTGAAAGATCAGGTCTGCTCATCTTGGTTTGCTCCAGTTGGGTCTGCGAGTGATTATCCACTTTTGTCCAAGTGGGTCATTTATGGTGAGGTACAGGTAGAACAACCCTAAATTTTTTTATAGTGCTCTTCTGTTGGTAGTAGACTTAGTGTTGTATGCTTATTAATTTTTCATTTCTCAGTTAGCATGCAATGGTTCATGTGCTGGTTCATCGGATGAAATCTCCCCATTATACTCATTATGGGCCACATTCATAGGCCTCTACATTGCTAATTATGTGGTGGAAAGGTCAACAGGGTAAGTGGTGAATTGTAACATGTTTTCTGTGATGCATAAACCATGACTGATTGTTATCTTTTACATTCAATGGTATCTTTTTTGATAAATAGGTGGGCTCTTACTCACCCTCTATCTGTTGAAGAATATGAGAAGTCGAAGGAGAAGCAAATGAAGCCTGATTTTTTGGATATGGTTCCTTGGTATTCAGGGTATATGCTCTCTCTCTCTCTCTCTCTCTCTCTCTCACACACACACACACACACACACACACGCACACACCACACCCCCCTCCTCTTCCTTGCTGTTCTCGTATTCGGGGGAGTTGTACTCACTTTGCTGGTGTATGTATTGCAGAACATCAGCTGATTTATTCAAGACTGTCTTTGATCTCCTGGTATCAGTAACTGTCTTTGTTGGCCGCTTTGACATGCGTATGATGCAGGTAATCTCATAGTTTCATGTTGTGTACTTTCTTCATTGTATTGCTCTAGTAACTTAAACTATTTTCTCCCTGGCTTTGAGATTATCCTCTTGAAATTTTCGACACCCGTCAAATATACACTTGAAACATTTAGTTTCTTTGTATTGGTACCATTCAAGAATTTATTTATTAACTGTTCTTTCAAAGAATCCATGTATAAGTTTATTTAGTAAATCAGAAAGAAGAAAATTTTGTGTTTAACTGTCGTTTGATCTTAAACCATATATGAAATAATTGATCTCATCATAGAAATAATTTTGCGGGGCTAGGTACTTTAATAAACCTATTCTTTTTTCAACTTCCTGGCAGATACTTTTATGTTCCTTGTTGCCAATGAGCTCCCTTTTTGTTAATATTTACTTTGTCATGGACTTTGGTTTGGAATCTTAATAAAGGTCATGATGTAATTACATATTTATGTTTCCCTCTCCAATCATTAGGCAGCAATGGACAAGGTCCATGATGGAGCTCAACAAAAGGATGTTTTATATGATAATTTTGTTGGGAAGGATGATCTGTGGTTTGACTTTATGGCTGATACTGGCGATGGTGGAAACTCATCTTATACTGTGGCTCGGCTCCTTGCTCAACCTTCCATTAACATCAACCAAGATGATTCTATGCTGCACTTACCACGTGGCGACTTACTCCTGATTGGAGGGGATCTTGCGTAAGTTGAAAGTTCTTCTTTATGTTTAACAATATGGCATGAGGGATCAATTATTATATAGATATTTGTTTCTGTCGCAAAGGTGAAATGATTTCACGAGGTTTCTTCTGTGGTTTAAATGATCACCTGAAAGTATTTCATCAGTATTGCTGTCTGACATTGCATAAAACTTAATAAATTAATTTGTAAGTCTCAAATTTCCTAGCCATTATAGATAAACCCCAAATATCTGTTTCAACACCTTGGGTGAAGTTTAAGGCTAGAAACATTCCAAGCTTTGTTTTACTGGCATTTAGTGCTAGTGTAGGTTTGGTGGATTTTTGTTTTGTTTTTTTGTGGACTATGGAAACTGATGCTTAATGTGGGAAATGCGAAGTTCATCCACAACTTCAATAAGAACTGTGACTAAACGACCACCACCAATTGCTCTGATTAAACCATATCACTGACCAGTTGAGCAATTGGTTAGCTTCTCAATTGGTGCTGTCTAATTCATGCCTTACTCATTGAAACAACTCCCTGTTGAAATTTTGATACAGTTAGTGATAATTATCTAAATACATGCATGTGCCCTTGATGTTTCATTTGAAGCTTCCAATCTATGAAGTTTTTGTTGATGTTTATCATCCCTTTTCTGTACATGCACATGCCCCTTATGTTTCATTTGGACCTTTGTTTTTCAAGAGCACCCCAACCTCTAATTCTAATCATTGTTTCGTTATTTAGAATTTTATCATACAGCCATTGTCTGACAAATGATATTTTATTTTGCTGAATATCTGTTATGTGTGTAATTATGTCATGGTTCTGGTTTAGGTATCCTAATCCATCAGCATTCACTTATGAAAGGCGTCTATTTTGCCCTTTTGAGTATGCTCTCCAGCCCCCTCCATGGTCTAAACAAGAGCATATAGCTGTAGATAAGCCTGAGCTACCTTGTGGTGTGTCTGAACTGAAGCAATATGATGGACCTCAGTGTTTTGTCATTCCTGGCAACCACGGTTGGCTTTTGTTCTCTCTCTCATCCTCGACACCCCCCCTCCCTTTCCAAAAAAGAAAAAAGAAAAAGAGAGAATTTGCTAAAAGCTAGAGTGTTAATATAGGTGTAGTAAATATTCATTCTTTCTTCTTGCCATTACAGATTGGTTTGATGGACTTCATACATTCATGAGGTATATATGCCATAAAAGCTGGTTGGGCGGGTGGTTTATGCCTCAAAAGAAGAGTTATTTTGCTCTGCAACTCCCAAAAAGATGGTGGGTATTTGGTTTTGATCTCGCACTCCACGGTGATATTGATGTGTACCAATTCAAATTCTTTACAGAACTAGTAAAGAACAAGGTATTTCTAAGTTTGCTTTTCTTTTCTTTTTATTTTTTTTAGGTTTTGTCTTCTTTTTCTTTTTATAGATATGGTTCCCTTAAAATGGCCATGGTGTGTCAAGTCATGCTATATTTTCTGAGTAGTTTCTTTGGTCCTTTGCCTTTTATTTTAAATTTTTGGAGTTGTGAATAATTGGACCCAAAATTGTAAACAGGGCACTTTTGATTGTTACTAAGGTTGGCATTACACAAGCACAACATTGGCTGGGGATGAGACTGATGTTTCTCTTTTTCAAATAGTGAACTGGACAGAATTCCACTAGACTTGTTATGAAGTCATATCTGTTTCCCCTGTTTATAAAAATAGAAATGTCATATAGAGTTGAGGGTTTTGCTGATGTGACAGCTAGACCTGTGTTTGATGCATGTAAACCTATATATAGGGTTTCGCCTATACATGCTTACAATGAATGATGTTAAGCTTCTTACTTGTTTGCTCATCCCAATTTTCCAAGTTCCAAGCTTTTTCTGATTGTAGTTAACATTCTCATCTCATCATGTTATTCTAGGTCGGAGATGATGACTCTGTAATTATCATGACACACGAACCAAACTGGCTTCTTGATTGGTACTGGAATGATGTTTCTGGAAAGAATGTTGCACACCTGATATGCGACTATCTAAAAGGGAGATGTAAGCTTCGAGTGGCTGGAGATTTGCATCATTATATGCGTCATTCATTTGTTAAAACGGAGGACCCAGTTCATGTGCAACATTTACTTGTAAATGGTTGTGGTGGGGCTTTTCTACATCCCACCCACACCTTTAGTAATTTTAAGAAATTTTATGGAGCTTCTTATGAGAGCAAAGCTGCTTATCCTTCATTTGAAGATTCAAGCAGGGCAAGTTTCGGTTTGAAGTTTTGTAATTTCATTGTCTGTCAGGGTGTCTATAGAAAGTTCACTTGTTTATTTATTTCCTCTCAACTCTTGGTTTTAATGAGTCTTTTTTTTTTTTTGGTCCATTTGCAGATTGCTTTAGGAAATATTTTAAAGTTTCGAAAGAAGAACTGGCAATTTGATTTTATTGGTGGCATTATATACTTCCTACTGGTCTTCTCTATGTTTCCACAGGTTAGTCTTTGATTGATTTTTTGCTATTATTTGATGATAGTTACCCTGGCTTTGCATTACTTTGTCCCTCTCTGGAATTGAGATAACGTGTACCTTACCAATCTTTGATATCCTAGTCCTTTTGCTTTCCTCAGAGCTTGTAAAATTGTTTACCATTCGTTTTTTGGGTAATGTGATTATACTCTGTTATTGCGAGATGACAACTCGAATTTGCCTTTTTGTTTTTGTAGTGTAAGCTTGATCATATCCTGCGAGATGATTCATTTTCTGGCCACATGGGGTCTTTCTTTGGAACAGTGTGGAATGCTTTTGTATACATGCTGGGGCAGTCTTATGTATCTGTAGCAGGTGCTGTGGTATTGCTAATTGTTGCAATTATATTTGTCCCCTCTAAAGTGTCTCGGAAGAAACGATTGATGATTGGAGTTCTTCATGTGTCTGCACACCTGGCTGCAGCACTGATTCTTATGTTACTGTTGGAACTGGGTGTTGAGATGTGTATCCAACATAAACTACTGGGAACTTCAGGTCAGCTTTTAGTCTCTTGTTTACCATTTTCAAGACCTACATGAATAGAGAAGAAGCACACCTTTCTCATCCTGTATACTAATGTGATTTATGATCTTGGCAGTTATTCTGTCCTTGCCTGTTATATTTGTTCATCTATTATTTTAACTTTCAGATAATTCAATCATTTTTGTTTCTGTTGAGAATTGCCTAAAAAGATAGCCATACGACATTGGGATACAATGTATATGATGGTGTAAGCGTGGGTCTGACCAAAATGTTAATGGTAGGAGGGAAAATATGCAAATTATGTTGTTGGATTGTATGTTGATGATGAAAATTTTAATTTTCAGGCTATCATACTTTATATCAGTGGTACCGATCGGTGGAGAGTGAGCACTTTCCAGATCCAACTGGCCTTCGAGCTCGAATAGAACAATGGACTTTTGGCCTTTATCCAGCATGCATCAAGTATTTCATGTCTGCATTTGATGTTCCAGAGGTATGGAAAGCTCTTTTGCAAACTTATTTTTACTCTTCTTTGTTGCATTCTGACGATGAAGAAATCTTATCAGGTTATGGCTGTCACCCGAAACATATATGCAAGAATGGGATGGAATCACTATCTAGAGCGGGTGCCATAATCTATTATGCTTCCGTCTTCCTTTATTTCTGGATGTTCTCAACTCCTGTAGTTTCTTTAGTATTTGGAAGTTACTTATATATCTGCATTAACTGGCTTCACATACACTTTGATGAAGCCTTCTCCTCCCTCCGAATTGCTAATTACAAGTCATTCACCCGATTCCACATCAAAAGTGACGGTGATCTTGAAGTCTACACTCTTGCAGTTGATAAGGTAAGAATGTGATGCCTGTTCAATTTCAAGTGCCGTATTTGGGACTTCTAAGAGTTTAAGTCTAATTAAAACATGCAGGTCCCGAAAGAGTGGAAGCTAGACCCCGAATGGGATAGTGAGCTAAGACAGCCACAACAAATGAGCCACCTTAGGAAGTTTCCTAGCAAGTGGAATGCAGCTGCCGCTCAACAGGATCCGTTAAATACCGTTAAAATTGTTGATCACTTTGTTATTCGACAAACAGATAAAACTGTTAATGGAGCAAGTGATGGATCAGTAATTAGCTGATCTGGGCTTGTGTTCTATCTGTAACATTATTGTAGTTCCCTTCGTTTAGATAGCAATGAAAGAAAAGAAAGAAAGAAAAAAAAAGTTTGTATGTTAAGATTGCACATATTTGATTGTTTTAGTTGCCAGATTTGTACAGAAAATTGGTAATGCGAATTTGGAGTTTCAGATTCTCTCAGATTAGAAGAAAAAAGAAAATTCAAATTTTCTCCAATTGTACTAGAGAGACCAAGGAGGGCAAAGCAATTGAATTTACACAATCCAATCAATTAATATAATGAATTTACAAAAAAAAATTCTGCTGACAAATATACAAAGAAAAAAAGAATTCAATGAACAAAATTTTTGAGATGGGAAAATTTGGAGAACTGTGAAATGAAGTGGGTTATGTACATAAACTCTGATGACAATCTCTTCTCAAGTGAAATTAATTAGTGCAGATTGTGGTGAAGAGGGCAGTTGATAGTCTGCATGGAGGAAAGTCTCGTACGATGTGCCTTTGAGTGTTTTCTCAACAGTTTCCCAGTTCTCAACTTGGTTTGATAACGGCGTCGTATGGATCTTAACCTGACGGCTCTTGAGCTCTCTGTGGGGCAACCTAAGGAAGTCTTGAACCTCATTAAGTTTCTGCAAAAATAAAACATTTGTATTATCAATGATTAAAGTGTATTTATTTTATGTAACACAATAAACAAAAGGGTAACTTACAGTGCGGTTGTTGAGAACGTCCTCGTAGTAAACAACAATATGGCGAGTGGTGTTGAAATATTCTACAGCTTTGGCAGCTGCCGCCTCATCTTGCGCAAGATCTCGAATTAGTAATGTCGCATTTATCTTGGGTTTGTATTTTGCTAGTATTTCAGCCTGCAATTGAATTGAATTTATTTGTTAGGACTTGGGATGATATGAGATTATGGAGGCCGAGGAGAGAGAGAGAGAGAGAGAGAGAGAGAGTTGAAACCTCCAATGGAGAATGGACATGAGACTTGTGCGTCCCATTCAGTGGCTTAGCATCTTTATCATAGGAATTTGCAAGTACAGAAATCATTCTGCGGAGCAAGTTCCTTCTGAAGAGGAATATTGCAGACACTCCTTTTTTCTTGAAGTACTTCACTATCTCTTCATGATTCTCCATCAAGCCCTACACCAAGATATATACATATAATTTAGCTACCATTCATCTTAAGCTCCTGTATTATATCTAGATACATACATGCACATGCGTCAGTGGTTGTTAGCCGTTGATAGAAGTTGATCCTACAATCCATCAACAATTGACGTCCACCTACTTACTACAAACATTATCAATAAAAGCATTATCAATAAAAGTCAACTAACCTGATTAAGCATCCATTTGAATCCAACAGCAGCATTACACTCATTCTTGGAAGCACTACTAAACCAGTCCAGATTATAAACTTTATCCATGTTCTTCAAGATTGAAGATACATTAAGCCTCCTATCCCGGACCGAAAATATTTCCCCATTTGAACTTACATTAATGTGACTATTCAACAACGTTTCAAACCATCCACTCCCGGATCTCTGCATTGACAATATGGCAAAGTACCGTACTGGATTGCAGGCACATTCCTTCCTGTAATTACACCATCAATTAAATAAAAAAACCTTCATTTTTGACAATTTCGTACTTAATTAGTTGAAACCATCACCATGCACGTAACTTCAAACACAAATTACCTTTTGAATGTTTGAGGTTTTGGGTAATGAACATAGCCGATTTCGGATTTCTCAAGATCAGGAACTTGACAAGATTGATTAATTTGGTTTTGGTGATTAATGGCTATGATGTTCAAGAATTTGGTCTTGGTGTGAGTGTTTATTTGCTTCAAACAAACTAAGCAAATGTAAACTCCACAAACCATTGCAAAAAGTAGAACCACCATCCTCAGTATCAGTGGAGATTTCTTGGGACCTTTGATGACAAGTGTATCCTGTAATTAAATTAAAAAAAAAAAGCATGACAATTGATAAGTGTGAAATTAATTAGTTGACGAAAGAAATTAACAGTAACAGTGATAGCAGAGCATACTGTGGTGGCTTCCATCGAAGCTTCCCCATCAAAGAAGAGAAAAGAACAGAAGAAATAACGGCTTAAATGGGATTTTGGTGGTTTTTTTTTCCTACTAATTTCTGCTGTTAAGTTTTGAGAAAAAGAAGGCAAAAGAAGTGGTCAGAGCTTGAAAAAATCAGATTGGAACATTCATGCATAATATTACACAGACAAGTGTGATTTATACCAATGAGAGTGTATAATACTTGCACTAATTAAATCAAAATAAAATTCCAAAAAAAATAAAAATATTTGGATGATAAAGTGACAGAGAGGGAGCTAGCTACACACACACACACACACACACACACATATATATACAGAGTGACCAATATAACCCTACGGACCTTGTTGAAGAAACAGATTTCTTCTTCATCATCCATTCTGTGAGGAGAAGAAAGGTAAATCGGCATTGAGTAGGCTTCGACTTCTTCGTCCCACACAAACACACTCTCTGTCTCTCTCTGTCTCTCTCACAACTTCAGAAGTGGAGCTTGGATTTGGGACAGAGTAAGGTGGTGGGAAGAAGAGAAGAACAGAAAAGAAAGGTGTGCCTGTTACGTTATGTCCTGTTTTTAATTTTCTCCTCGTGAAAAACAACATTTACAACACAGCACGCTCTTTCC